AAAAAAACAGCAAAAAGCAAAGTCATATCGGAAAGCGTGTGACGAGAATCGCACGAACCGAAAGAGGTAATTTAAGGGCAACCTCAAATAAGAAGGACAATTCCAAGTAATGTCAAGGACCAAATGTTATTGAAATGAGATAATGTTAAGATATGCATAAGTAACGCAGAAAACATGTTGGTGATGTTACACAAGAGCAAATGATCCTGAGTAAGGGTATCTCGATGAATTAGGAATCGACTAGCTTCGAGGAGCAGGGTTTGTGCGGACTTCAGTAGACGTCGACTGCGTGCCGGGCGCACAGTTACCGAAAGGGTTCATACGGTGCAGGAAACACAAGTTGCACACACGAACCTGCAATAGAATCATCCAATTCTAACCTTTGCAGAAACGACAAAAATAATCCAAAATAACTAGGATACTTTCAAGCGGATAAAATTTTAAAAAAATCACTGTACCTTGCGATCATATCCTAACTCTGGAATGCAAATGCTATTCCTGCTGCATCTATTACAGAAGATTCGTCCACAATTACGACAATGATGACGCCTGCGTACAACAGTGAAAGGAGCAGAACATGCAGTGCATTGTTCACAGTCCTCATCAGGCACCCAGCGCACGCCTTCAAACACTTGATGTTGTAAAAACAGGAACGAAAAGGGGCTTATGAATTCTTGTAGAACAATCTATAATACATACCAACGAAGGAAGGCAGAGGGAGAGTTTCCTGCACTTCGACCCCGGTTTCCTCTTCATTTTCGGCGTTTGCGGCAGTTTGACCATTTACCTGAAACTGTATGGTATTAAAGCCTACAAAACCGATGCAGCTCTACCTCAAACGACATTTTAAATACCGAGTTCCCAAATGATAAGTCGCAAAATTTTTCTTGCAGTCGCGGCAAGTAAAAAAAATCTATATCATAATCAAGATGTGAAATAGGGGAAACTTAATCTGAAATACCTACTTCGTAAACGGGAATAACTTCAGTTGGCTGAAGAATAAGTTTTAATACTTTGCGTACTTCACTGGAATAATTTGTCTGGAGCTGATCAGCGACTCCCGAAATGCATACAAACAGTCTAAACACTAGCTATTGAATGGAAAACAAATTCAAAGCATTCTCACAAACCTGTGGATGAGATCATCAGCAGACTGGAATTTTGAGCGCAACTCAAACGCGTTTGGCGACATACTGAAAAGATAATGTACACATTCGAAAATTGAGAATAGATAATGAACTAACCACGTATCATCTAAACTGTACTCTGGCCCTTGGGTATCATCCTCTTCCGAGCTACATAGAGGTTCAGCATCTACCTCATCTTGTGTACCACTTTCGTAGTCTTCATCAATTTCTAGCTTCTCTGCTGCACAATCACCATCAGCTTTTTCGATCGTTTTGTCTGCCATAGTTCCGGACTCATAATTGTTGTCGCCATTTTGGCAGCGTTTGAGTTGTAGATTTGCCAGAGGTTTGCGTGTGCGAGGCTCATGAGAATCGTGATTGCTGCGGAAAGCAGCCATTGTCAAAGCGTCCTTGTCGTCTGTTACTTGAGTTTCTCCAGTGCATAAAATCTTCTCGACCTATTATAAGAACGTCATTGAACGAGAAAATATTATTGTTGATACTGATAAGCAGTTAAAAACAGCTTACGCCAGTCGGAAGAAAGGCGCCCAAAAGCGCAGAAGCTTCTCATATAACCGTTTAAAAAGTGTATTGCGAAAGACTACGGTTAAATGACGACACAACTCACTTTGAGAAGTTCGTTAGGTGTAAGAGCTAGGAGAAGGTTGCGGATTTTGCTCAAGAGTGAGTAATATGGACGGAACATCTCGGAGATGTTCTCTTGTGGACCGTCGACATTCAGGGCCCCTTCAGGATAGTATATAAGCCCCCTATAATACTCAGCATTACAACAGAATGAAAAGAACCTCTAAAGCTCACTTACCAAACGATGGCAAGTCTCGGAATACAAATCATAACAATAGGATCGAACGAGTCTATCTGTTCTTGGGTGATAAGTTTTTGTTTCAATGCACGCTCTAGAACATCCGAAAAGAGGACGGCAACGTCTAACTGCGCATCATGTTCTTTAACTGATTTCACCGGAACCATGGCTGACACATATCTAAAAGTGAGTAGTTCTATAATTGAAATTGGATAACTCTGGTGACATCATGAAGATGTCCTTGTCACCAAAATAAGATGTGGTAAACTGATTATTTACCGGGTAGGCTTGTGCGACTGAACAGAAAAAGAAAGTTCACTACAGATTGATTAGTACAGAAAGGGAGAATAACAATTCGAAAGCATAGAAGAAAAAGTTCAATAAAAATTCAATGAAAAATCAAATCATATTGGAAGGGTAGGAAATCAACGTAAAATTGGGTAGAAACATACAACAAAATTACTCACTGAAATTCAAAAGCGGCAAATAAGTGATCGAATTTCAAGAGGCTTTCCTTTATTGCATCTGTATATATAAGTGGATCACGAAGGGATTGGTCCTTAAAACTCAAACAATCATATGACTGCTAACAACATACAATCATAAAGCGTACCTTAAGCAGATCACGCAGCGAATCGAGATGACGAGTGAGTTCTTTAGCAAGCGGCCGGATGGCATCGGATTCGGATTCGTGGTCGATTATGCTCGATCCAGCAGCAAGACACTGAAGCATATGTTGTAGACTGTATTAAGCAGATATCTAAAACTCATTATGAAAATACAAAGGATGCAAATATTCTTGCTTTCGAATCTTCTTGTTTCATTCATTATATAGGGCCACATCTTGAAGGAACGGATAAGAATTACAAGTCACCACTTGAAAGTTTAGTTTTTTATACCACATCCTCCCTCTAAAGCCTATATGAGTTAAAAACAGACATAAGATTGACTAGTCATGTTTGCTGAATCTTTACCATCAATGTATATTAGCGATTATAAAACCATCAAAGCAAACAATGAAAATTCAAATTAAAGATTGACTTTTGCCTAAAATCATGTAAGAAAGCAGCAAGTGAAGCATACTCACCTCGGCTCCAAACCATAGCTGTCCAGGAAGGCTATCATGTATAATTTCATCTGGGAACTTAACGCGAAAATCTCGGCAAGCTCGGTCCGATTCACGTGGATAAACAATAGTTAACATTTCACCTTTAAAAATTCATAGAGATCTAAGAAATCACTGAATGGGTCAATTACCTATGATATGAAGAACCCTATCCTGAGAAATTCTGAGCTTATTTACAAGAGCATTGCACCTCTCGGGATCTCGTCGCCCATCAAAGGAGTCCAACTCAAGCGCTAAAATGTGACTTT